TTTCTTCCCACATCCAAGTCCTCAGCATTTTCCAAAGGAATAACTGTTCCTGGTGGAGTGCTTTCTAGGATTTTCAGCTGCATTTCATTTTCAAAGAATACTGGTGAATGGTCATTTACATCTACGATCTGGAGCTCATTTGTAACAAACTGCAAAGGGTTTTGTAGTAGTATCTGAAAATGCAGTATACATGGTTCTGTGGGGCCGCATAGCTCCTCTCGGTCCAATTTCTCATTCAGGAGCAAATCACCTGTCTGATGATTGAGCTGAAAATGCTGTTTGTTTCCTTTGGACACAACTTGGGCCCCCCTTGCAGCCAATTCCTCTACCCTCAGCCCCAGATCCTTTGCTAGGTTAGATATTAAAAAGCCCTTCGCTTTTTCCTCAGCCACAGAATAGCGTCTCAGCTCAGACCCGGCCAGAGATCCACCCAGAAAAACAAAGAGAAGCAGGACTTGCCTTTGTCTGAGAAAGCGGTCCCCTTCGGCCTCCATTGCACTTTTTGCCGTGTTCTTCCAGGGAAAGTCTCCAAGCAGAACCTCATACAGCGCTGGGGAACGCAGTTTTTTACCTCACAACCTTTGCAGAACTCGCAAATAATCCTTTTCAGAGGCTCAGATTTCCTTGTTTAAAAATCTGCCTGGTTTACCTCACTGGATCCGTGCATCAGAGTATGCCCAACCCCTGTGGTTTAATTCGCCTTCTTAGTCAACAGTGCCACCACGCGTTCACTTCACTCAGTTTCCAAATCTTGAAAGTGTGTTTTTGTTATTCTTTGTAGGGTTTTTTGGTTGGTTGTATGTATCACTTATTCCCCCTTTTAAGTCCAGTTAATGCTACTGGAGAAGTTTTTTCAGCTATGAGTTAAATACATACAACCTAGGAAAGTGAAATTTGCTTATATCTATGAGAAGTGATTGTTCTTGGTGGAGTCTTCATTTACGTGATTTTGCAGAAGTGTACACATACCACATTCTATTTCTCCCCTTCTATAATTATTACACACACATTTTATAAGATCTCACTTCAGATGTTGTGAAGAGGATGCTTCACTATCCTCTTTGTGTTTTACTCATTTTCTACATTTTGTAAAACGTTTATGAGTTGCATTTATAGCCAGAAAAATACTATGAAAAAACAATCTTGTGCAAGGTGGTAGAAAAACTGTAATAGATCATATAAGAGGGTAGATCCAGGGAGCTACCCAGGCTCAATTCCTTCAACATTTCCACACTCAAGGAACATTTCAGAGTACTTTCTCCTCTTCTTATTCACTTATTTTACAGTTATTTGTTTCATCTTTGTTAACTTATTTCCACAATTAATTGAGTTAGTAGAAGTTAAGCACATAATGGTAGGAAGACTATACCTCACACAGTTTTCCACTTTAATGAGGTACACAGTCTTTCAGCAGATGTTCAAACAGTATGAAAAGTGCTGGATAGGAATGTGCTGAAAATATGCA